TAATGGGAGAGATGATGACGTGGAACGATGGAGCAGCTGGAGACTTTAGATCCAGAGAGGGAGAGCGACTGTGTGCTGAAGACCTGGGGGGTACGGGGGAAGGATTGCATGGAGGGGAATGTAACCATGGCAATGAGACGGTATACGATAGAATGAATGTAAAACTACTGTTCTCCCATGTAAACTGTCACATAATTCAAAATAAAACATTTAAGAAAAGAAAAAAGTTAATGGTAAAAATTCCACTGTCTTTCAGTTCCACTCTCCACAAACTTTCTGAAGCTCCCTCATATACTTTATGCCATTAAGAGAATTAAAAAACGCACACATATACCTCTGTCATTCCTTTTAGCTTCAAACTAATGATCAGTACTAGCTGGAGCCCTTGGCTTTGACTAGGACCTCTACTTTGCAGTAGGCTGCCTTATGTAATTTTGAAATTTCAACAAAGCTGTGGTATACAGAAAAACAGCCCGTTGAAAATGCCATGTCCTAATTCCTGTAATCTGTGAATATGTCTGGCTATGTGGCAAAGGGTAATTGAGGACAGAGACAGAATTAAGGTTACTAATCAACTGAGATTAAAGTAGGATTATCCTAGATTATCTAGGTGGGTACAATGTAATCACAAAGGTCCTTAAAAGGGGCAGAGGGAGGCAAAAACAGTCAGGGGTGATGCTACTAGGGAAGCAAGGCACAGAAAGATGCAATGACTGTTTTGAAAATGAGGGAAGGAGTCAAAAGCCAAGGCATGTCAGGGCCTCTGGACACTGAAAAGGCAAGAAACAGATCCTCTCCTAGAGCTGCGAGACAGGAACACAGTCCCACCACCACCCTGATTTTGCCCCAGTATGACCCTTATTAGACTTCTGACTTCCAGAACTGTAAGACAATAAGTGTTATTTTAACACACCAGGTTTGTAGTAAAGTAACAGAAATCTACAAGTATGTCCCCAGTATGAAATTCTGGAGAAGTGCTTCTCAGGCGATAGCATCTTGCAAACGGTGAAGTTGGGATTTTAACCTAGACATTATAGGTTAGAAGCTTCTCACCACCACATTAGGTTGCCCTTCCATGGTAGGTCGTATGTAGAACAAGTTTCAAGGTAGGAAATTTATACATCTCTAGAAAGTCATTCTAGGCTGATTTTCAGTAATGAATACTATAGCCTGCTTCATATTTTAATTCTTATGATAAATTGTGGGTTTTTCATCAGTTCTGATGATGATCTAGTTAAGCTTCTGTCTTTAACATGAGGATCGAGTACCAATAGTCTTCAGCATACAACATGGTTGTATGACTATCATAAATCGGTTCTGACATAGGTCAAATACCTTATTTTAAAAACAGTTTCATTATTATTGCCTTTCATTATTTAACTTTTTTGTTGACATTGACTAGGACTTCTACTTTGGAACACGTTGTCACCATACGTATTCAATGTGAATGCTGAGCAAGTAATTCAAGAAGCTGGATTATGTGAGGAAGAATGGGGCATCAGATTGGGAGACAGAGTCCTTAACAACCTGAGATATGCAGATGACAAAAACTCACTTGCCAAAAGTGAAGAAGTTAAAAAAAAAAAAAAAAAAAAATACTTGATGAAGATCAAAGACCATGCATGGCCTTCAATCCTTACAACTGGACTAGTAAATAACATCATGATAAATGGGGAAAAGACTAATGTGGTCAAAAACCTTATTCATTGCTTGAATCCACTATCAACA